ACTGCAGTTCAGACGAGGTTAAAGATGAGTTCTACAGAAAGCTTTCGGAACTCCTCCAAAAAGCTAGGCGCTCTGATATAGTAATAATGGCTGGTGACTTTATAGCTCATTGATGGTGCGGGCGAGATATCGGTTTGATGACTTAAGGACGAGTGTACTGTTCAGCAGTTTGCTCCGTCCTACTGTACGGATGCGAAACGTGGCCGTTAAGAATGGAAGACGTCCGTAGTTTACTAGTCTTTGATCGTCGATTTCTCCGAAGGATTGCTCGTGTATCGTGGGACAACCGTATAAGCCATGCTGTCGTTAAGAAACTAGTTCTAGGTGGGGATGGCAAATCAATAGATGTAGTAGTGAAACTTCATCATTTGAGGTGGTTGAGACATGTGTTACGTATTGCTAACCACCGACTGCCTCGTCGAGCTATATTTTGCAGTGTAGGAGTAGGTGGGAAGAAAGCTAGGGGCGGCCAGACCAAAACATGGCAGAAATCCGTGAAGTCACTGACAAGTGGACTGAGTAATGTTGGTAGGTGCAGGCTATTTGGTTGTGGTCCGCGAGACGATAGTCACCAATGGTTAGAGACCTTGAAGGACATTGCTCAGAATCGTTTGCAATCGCGCAGGCGTATCCACTCTTTGTGTGCTTTTTAATTCTAACCTTCTGAATTCCACTTAATCTTTATCTTTCTCATTCTAAATTTATCTTACTGAATTATACTTCTCGAATTATATTTTCGCTCCCTAATCTTTTCCATTACGGCTAAGTATGGCAACCTGAACTGATGTACTTATGTACGAAGTTCTGCGTTGTATCTGTCTGTCTGTTCACCTATCTACATGACTCAGTTCAACAATCTGTATCTTCATAAACTGGTATAATGCCTTATTCTGGCCGTCCTTAGTTTTATTCAAATCTGCTACTACATCAACCAGAGTAGTCGGTGATCCCAGATGTGGTACCAACCTATAAGTTCTATAGATTTCTGTCTTACTCATGTCTGAAGGTGCAAATCTCTCGTTTGAGATTGGCAGATATTCAGCGGTTTTGATTTACAGATCTGAGGTAACAGTTCATAATCAATCACAATGTCTCGAATGTATTCATTATCTTTCTCCCCCAGGTAGAGCGGTGGTATAGTGAATAAAATGATCATCTTTCAGCTGGTAAACGACTGGTTCAATCACCTTTCTGTTACTTCAGTTTTTGCCGTTGGTTAGCAATGTTAGCCCACACAGTGTGGTTGAAGCCGATTAAATAATGCTGTACTTTATAAATGAACTACTATCTTCCGCAAAATCACAGACTTACATACTGTTCATTCGTGAATTTAATCAGTTCCCTGTGAAGCATATTTCGTATGCCACATTCCTCTGTATCACTGGTTGCGTAGTTTTAGCTCCTGTGTTTTTCATTTTGCTAATTTTCTTTTAATGCTTGAAACAGCAGAGTATGTAAAAATGAAATCGAGCACAAAAGTCTAATCAACCATGGGGAACAGCGGTGGGCAAAGAAAGAAAAATATGTGGGATGAGATGATAATGATAAACTCATTACAGATTGAGATTAGAAAGTCATTTGCTAGTAAGCCTAGCGGAAATTTACGTAATTTTATGACATTCAACAATCGTGATTTTCGATAACAAATCCTCCTACTTATTGGACAGCACTGCACGTTTGGAGGATTCTGCATCAAATACCTCAGAGAATGAGCTCATACAACCTCATCTCTTTATCGTTCTATTCGATCAGCAACGGGTTAGTTAGGGTTGCCTAATATTACTTTTTCTCTTCAACTTTGACATCGGCGAATTTAAGTGGTTGTGATGTGGATCTGTATCTGGAGAAAGATTTTTCGATCTTAAGTATGCGAATAATACTGTCGCTTGGTTTTAGGTGTCTGTGGGTATCTGGGTAGCTATGAGAGTGGTGAGACCAATCTACGTACCGTGAAAGCCAGAGTGACATGTACCAGCCTGTACCATTTTTAGTACTATCGTGGTATTCGTCCTGAAGTAAAAGTTAGAGTGTACAACGCATCTATGAGAGACTGTGTAGGACTGGTATTTATTTGTTTTTCACAACTTGGTCGGAATCCGGACTATAGTTCAACTCCGTGGTTTGAGCCGTCTTCAGACATGTCCGAGAATCGGAAGCAACAGCCGTTCTATGTTAATTTTCATTAGTCTTGCGCACAAAATGTGATCTTGTCAGGGTGAACAAGCTATTTTTGACTGTATTTTCCTAACTGTTGAACCGTGTCATATCTTGAAACAACTAATTTTTCAGAGTTGTAACTTGAAGTAAACACTGAATACTGTTTCTGGCACGATTGCTACCTCTGCTACTTAGTATAGGAGTGAGCTTCTTATACTAACACGAGGTAGAAAACGAAATGATAAGATCGGATTGATCTATTCGCCAATCACTAATTAGTACGACATCCACAATAATAATTTAAACATATTGAAAATGTCCGGTCAATAAAAGTATATTCGAACGAATGAAACTATTGGTAAATCAATAATTTAGTGTGTGTGTGTGTGTGTGTAGTTTTCAAAATTAGGAAATCAAATTATTATTTCTACCATCATATACTACTTTCGTCCACTGATTGTAACTCATCAAATTATTATTTTGTTATTTCGACCCCTCATCTCTTGACAATTTCATCCACCTATTTGAACGGTGCGTATTTTTGTTCGTGCCCATTTGTGTTTAAATAAATGCATATACGGAACTATGATCCGTTTTGGTACCAGGTGACTGGAATCAGAGATGCAACAATTTTATTGGCCTTTGGTTATTCTCTAAGCAAGTCTATAAGATCATAGGTATATTGGAGCGAGATTCAGCAACAGGGTCTGAAAGATCAATCCCATAGGTCTTCACATTATATTAAAAGATGGAAATCTTGTGATATAACCACAGATGAATCACTTTACCATGTGTTCTTTAAATTATTAGATTCAATAATTATCCAACGCTTAAAGTGAGCTTAAGAACAAGCAAACTCAAGAAGAGTAGGTTGATTTCAGACATTTACCATCTGACAGGTTATGAGGCACAAACATCCAATGTAAGTCGTAATAATTTCTTCGTTAGTTGTTTTTTTACTTTATCTAAGGATTCACTCATTAATATAGGTCACGGCAGCTTATCTGCACCAATTAACATGTTTAGCTCTCTCTCTGGATAATTAATTTCCGCTTTTTAGCGGAAACAGAGTCATATAATCAAGGTTTTATTCATTCTGTCAATGTAAAATATTTTATAAAAAATTGCATTCACATCGATCAGATTCCTTTTCCAGATACCTTCACTACAAGTCGTTTTTCATATTCTCAATTTCAACGAAAGTACAGTTTTTGAGATGGTGGAGAAGTTTGTTATTTTAAAATACTAGAAGTCAAGTTTCTCATAAACTGTCTGCTTTTGGAAACAATACAATTTTCCGGCTCACCAAAAGGCGAACTACCTATGTTTTCTTAAATTTTTCTTTTGGTTTCTTTTGTACATATGATTTATGAATTAATTTGTTTTTTGATATTCATTGAAGTTAGTTTGTCTCATTATTCTTGTTGATCATTACAGTCTGGTCACACTTGTATGCGAACAGAGTTGCTAGTTATTGTAGGTGGTTTTCGTCCTCTTTTCTAAAAAAGAAACACCTATGTAGTTAAATGTGATTATTTTGGCTAATGTTTATACCTCTCTTTTTTAGTGGAAGTGGTTTGTACAAGTCTGTGATTATGATTAGAATGATTATTTAAACATTTAAATAGATGTACTGATGTCTGAATCACATCAACTCTGTTTTTATATTCACTATTATTATTATTACTGCTATCTAAGATCTGTTTGGTTCCTTAGTCTTGACTACTAATACACTTGAAGTTATAGATTCTAGTTGACTTGTTTGGACGTGTTTTCTTAACTATATTTTGATGTGACGCACCTCAAAATTTGTATGTATATATTTGTCATTAAGTTTCTACAATTTATCATCATGTTTGTTGATTGTATCGTAGTATAATGATGATATGCAGTAGTTAGGGTAGTCTGTATGAGAGAAGAAAATGTCAAGAATTTTTGTTGTTACATTATTCAGACAAAATAGCCTATCACTAGAATTCATTTGATTTCTTTTCATCGGGGTTAAAATCCGAAATCTTATATAGTAGATTCTTTTTGTTATTAATTGTTGCGAAACAATTTTGACGGAAATGTATTCTAGCAAACTTGTTTTGAGCCTTATTATTATACCTTGTAAAATATTATTTTCAGTGGTACTCCTTCACATGTTCTATGTAAATTTGACATGTTTATGTATCGTCATTTATTTACAGGTTACTTAATTGTAAATGGAGTCACATGAGTGATTGGCTATTTTAACTTTTATATATTTACTATTAGTGTCAGTCAGACAGTCACCTGCAACGTAGAACTTTGTACGTAAGTACATCAGTTCATGTTGCCATACCACATTAGCACAAAGACACCATTGTCAATTCAGATCTCATAGTGGTAGTGTTAGTGTTAGACTTATCAATAAATGAACCCAGTTACTCTCATGATTTTGTTGTATTTTGTTGCCTGTTTCACTTGTCCATATTATTCTGTGGTGTAATGCTTTTTCATTTTCGTATGGTGAGGTTTAGTTTAAAAATCATCTTAAACATGGAACACCTATTAATGAAGTACAATGGTAGTGAAAGAAATCTTAGTGATGGACAATCATATTATAATTGCAACAATGATATTGTTAATCCTTGGTCTATAGATTTCCCTTATATATTTTCTTCATGCCACAAATTAGATATTCTTGTAGAATCGTACTATCTATATCTAATGTTTCCCTACTACTACTACTATTCTGGCACTGTGATTTGTTGATGTGTTGTGGCAACTTCAACCGATCTATCATACTTACAATATGTATGTTGATTATAACCAATTGACTAATTCGTATTTTTTTTTATTTGTTTTTATAAATTTAGATCCTCTACAATAATACAAGAAGATGCTACAGAAAATGATAATAAAACATCATCTATTTTGTATAATTCAACATCAGATCTTTATCTTAAATCATGTTCAGATGATAATAGTAATAATAATAGTACTAGCATTAGTAAAGAAATCAAAAATGGAAACGAAAATACTATTGATTCGAACATAGTTATAAATGGTGAAAATCAAGAAATTTCATTAAATAATAATCGCCCAACAGATGTAAGTATTTGGTCAGTTGATCATGTTCAACAGTGGCTATTAGAAGAAGGTTTTCAACGTGAAGCTGAAGCATTTTATCAACAAGAAATTGATGGTACTTGTTTGTTATTAATGAAGCGTATGGATGTACTCACGGAACTTGGCATTAAATTAGGTCCAGCAGTGAAGATTTATGAAAGAATAAAACGTTTTCAATCGCAATGTGGTTCACCAACTTAGGAAACACTATTAAAGAAAATAAGGAAAATTAACAGTTATTCCTATATTTTAGAGTGTACATATATAAGTATCTACACAAATTAACTCTTCCTCAAAAACATAATTAGTCTCTTCACAAGTTTCTTCTTTTTTTAAAAAAAACCGCAATTATTAGTGTTGTTATTATTGTTTACATTTGATTACAAAAATAGGTTCTTTAATTTCAACGTTTGTACAAGTTGTTATAATTTTACCAGAAAAAATTCTTTCATACAACGGTTTTTTGTGGAAAATAATTGTATTATCTAATATTTTGTCAACAATCATCATCTATTGTTTTTCCAATGAACGTTAAAAAAATCAATTGTTACGTATGATTGAACAATAAGATGCAAGTTCAAATCTAACTTCCGACAATCTAATGTTTACTCATGATTTTATTTTCAATAGAAGACTCTGTATTTGACTTTTGTATGTTGACATAAATCTCAAATAAACTGTTACTTTAATATTGGAATTATCTAAAGGGCCGGGAATTGATGCATGAACTGATTGACTACATATACGTGGACTTTAGGAAGACTTGTTAGTTGTTTGTAGTTTCTCAGGTTCGGTTTCATTAACAGTTGTTCAAATAGCCACTTCCGATAATTGGTTATCATTTATTCACCTGTCAATTTCTTAGTCATAAGTGGTCATTATTTTATGTATTTACTAATTATGGCATTGAACCTCATCCTGTTAAGAGTATTTTCCTTAAGCTGTAGCTATTTTTTAATACTCATAGCTTACAACCACTCTAATTAAAAGTGAGATGCTCAGTGTCCTAGTTTGAATAAAACTATTGCATACCTGCGTTCTAACCGTGTAACAATCATGATTTAGTAAGAATCACTCACATTTTGTCTAAAAACCTTTTCAAATAATATTGGGGATAGGTGGTGTCAGTTAAAGTTGTATGTATTAATGTTTATCACCTTAAAATAGAGGGTTCAAGGTGTTTGGTGCTCATTATTCTGGTGTAACCCATGTCTACCAGTGGTCTCTAATTTGAAACTTTGTAAAAGATAGTATCACTTCATATTATTTGTAACTTTCCTCAGACTGTTATACGTGGCTCAACTGAAACACTAAGAATAGGGATAAGCTATCTGTGGATATAATGTGTGTCCATTAATTCACATCACATCTGTTTTTCGGTGTTCGATTTTTCTGCGGTGTCAAGCGTTTCTGTCCATTTTTCCTTTCAGTTAATCAGTGAGTGTTATGTTTGAGAGTGTGGTTGTTACGGAGGATTTTTATTTTAAGCTCTATTAAGACGTCAGGTGCTCTGCAGCGGTATGCTCACAAAGACATGTAGATAGATTTAGATGAGTGAAATGAAATCAATATCCACTGATTCAGAGAGATTTGTACCCCAAGAAGGTTGTAGATAGCGCGAAAAGTTTTGATCGTGTTACTTTAACTGTACTTCATGAATCTCCTTTCCATCAACCGTTCTTGACGCTCAGATAGGAAAGTCAGAAGCTGAAGTGAGATACAAGGAGTTATAGTCCACCCGACGGAGGTGATGCACGTTTACCTCTAATGGAGATAAAGGAAGAAACTTTTCAGGAGAGAGAAATAATGTACTGTGCATACCTGTTCATATTACACGATATCCCAAACCCAGATGGTCACATGTCTTTCTGAGTGCTAGCGGTCGATGAGGGATTTAGTAAGAGATGCTTTTAGAGGAAGTAAGTTATCCCCGAGTCAAAGTCTCAGACTATATGTCTTTATCTGGACAGTGGGAAACATGTACACTTGTAATTTGTGTACATAACTGTTCGGTTTTACTCATCTCAGTCTTTCCACTAAGAGGGTTTGGATTGCCTAAGGACGTTTATATGATAACTAGGAGATCTAATCGTTATTATAATCTCAGTTTTTAGGTATGCTAGCTGATAAATTTTAAAGCCGATAGCCTTGTCACATGAAAATCTAGTAAGGACAAGCTATCTGTTCACTTTAGTAATTCCACTAATTTATTTGCTTGCGGCTTTACCCGTAATGGAGCATAGGCCACCGATCAGCGAATTTTTCTGGTTAGCGTCTTTTAGTGAGTCGGTTTTTTACGAGATGATGTCGCTAACCCCAGGCCCAAACCTCCTCCTTTATCCGGGCTTCGGACCGGCAGTAACATTAGAAGGAATTCAGGCGTTGTTCCACTAATAGTCATATGTTTATGGGTCATCGGTCTTTGTTGGTATACATGCACCCCATGGGGATTACCTTAATTAAGTCATTGATTTATTCAGAATAGATGAGCTGGGGCTAGCGATGGAGTCCGGCACTCCCGTTTCGTTTTATTTGGGACTTGTCAGCTAGAAACACCTACACCTTAGTGCTAATGATCACATCAGCACTCGAACTCTATACTTTTCATTCCAAACCTTCAACATGCTATCTAATGAGGTAATAAACCTGATGACTAACTTGTTCGACCGATTTCATTTGTAAGGTTTTTTAATATCTTACCGATATGTAGGGCAATAACAGGTCATTCCGTGCTTCCGTTTACTCATCCTGAATGGATTGATTTGAGATGACCTTCAGTCGCAAATTATAGTCCTGGATTCCACTGTAAGCCTCTACCCAATTTTAAAAATAACATTAATATTATCTAAAATATTCTTTTTTAAAATCATCTGAATTCTTATACGATCCTATCATGGTTAGTTAAAATTATCTCGAAGTTAATTGTTAATCATGTATAATTCTGTTTCTTGTCTTACGGTATCTCACTTAGATTTTTCACTTTATTTACCATGATCAGGTTAAGATGATTTGTGATATATATATATATATATATATATATATATATATATATATATATATATATATATATAGATAGATAGATAGATAGATAGATAGATAGATCGTAACTCATTGAAGAAGCAAATCAATAAACGCATCTTATAAGACAAATCAACTACCCAGTAGATTCCACGATATTTTTCCAGCGAATTGGTACACTTTCTAGCCATTATTGAGTATGAGCCACATACACACACAAACATGATTAAAAGTCATTTAAATGTTAAACATAAATCAAGTTTAATTTCTACTAATTATTATCAATAAGATTAAAATATCACTTGTTACTAAGTTATGTTCATGGTCACAATGATTGCCTCCAGTTCCCGGAGCAATGTGTTCTCCAGTCTGTATAAAAATTAATTGAAGTCAGAGATATAAACTGTTAGATGTTAGAGGTGTAAAAATTGAGTGATTTCCGTAAGACTTGAAGGTTCTGGGTTTAATCCTCAATGGGTTTAAAGATAAACATTACAGATAAATCCTATAGTCTGCTAAAACATCTATCCTGTGATTTCTGGTTTTTAATAGTTTTCTAAGATCAGTCTGTGGTACAAACTATTTTAAAAAAGTTTTTTTTTGCAGTTTTCTTGTTCAGGTTTACCTCATCTGAATACCATTTCTCAAATTTAACAGTATCTATCAATTGAAGACAATATTCAACTCTTGAAACGGATTAATTCATCTAATCACATTTATCACAAATTGATTTGTTCTTGATTTTCTTCCTCACTTCTTGCTAAATTGTTATTATTTGACTCATTAATTATTGAAGTTATTCTTGGATATGATATGTGATTTTGTCAAACTGAATTTACAGTCAAATAAATAATCAGAGTACGGTGTGTTTCCACCCTCTACTAATAGTACATTCTATAGTATAATGATTGTAAGTAGTGGTGAGGGGGTGGTGGTGGTGGTGGAGTGATCAGTCGCAAGCAAACAGTACATTAGTTTCATGTATGAGAAATGTAAATTGACATAATTGAGAAAAGCAGACACAGACTACTTACTATACGATGTAAACGATAAACAAGAACTGCTGTGTACACTTGCAACGTAAACCGTTCCAGTTGGTTCCTTATAGTGATTTAAATTGCAGTGATTAGTCAATAATCATACAAAACTGATAAACTTTCTTCTTTTTTTTCACAGTTGCTTTGTTTCTAACTCATTTGAACTAAACTTGTGTATCTATTTTGGAATGTATTCATATTTTGGAGTGATTACATATCAACAACTCACAGTCTTGAAAGTGTGTGTATTACCGCCACTTATTAATAACAAACGAAATAATCATCAATATTCAATTAATCAGTGAATAAAAACAAAGAAATAATCAATCTATTGATGAGCAGCATACATACACTTGCATGTTATTCACTAATTGAATTATTAATTAGTAGTATTCATTATATAAAGGTTTGTTTTTTTTTTATTAAAATCCTGTTCACATCACCATTTATTTTTACCGTAATTATATGTCTTAAAGATTCTTTATGGTTAGATACAACATACTAACGTGTAGTTTTGACTACTCACTCTCGTACTCTTTGCTTTTCCAGATTCTCTCATACCCTGTACACTTCCCACTTCCCCACTTAGAATGTACAGTACTTTCAGATTAGGTGTTATGTTCAATATACTGATGTATACTGACAGCTAATCAAATTGATATGTGATTTATGAATTGACTAAATACAGTTAATTCCAGAGTATTTGTCAATATTATTTAACTGTATTGAATTTAAAGCTGTTTTGCTTGTTTTATACAAAATAATTTAATAAATAAAGGGAAAATTTATTAATTATTGTTTAATGGTCTTATCTGTAGGGAATTTCATGATATTTACAACCAGTAGTTTACGATATGAATAAATCCATCATGATTTGGTTAGATTGAATTAAAGAAATTTACTAGTGAATAAAATGATTTGCTGAACACTAGTCATATCGTTAAAGATTTAATTTGAATATAATTGACTGAAACTCACTAAATGATTCTGAATATTTTCATCTAAGTTACAATTTGCTTGCCGAATACATAGATTGTGATTAACAGTGAAATTAAGGACTCAAATTTTTCTGTTCTTGCAACGACCTACCACCTCCTGTATGATTGAGATACTTACAACGGATGAATCACTGAGTAATCAGTGACCAATATTGTTCATGTCAATACATTTTTGGTCCTGGTCGAATGTGACAATTAGTCTACATGACTTGAAATCACATGCACTATACTGAGGTCTCATTTCAACATTGTTTCCTGTCGACAGCCTTCAGTCACACTGTTATATTGGCAACTTGATTGAGAGGATCAAATTAATTTTAAGAAGGATTTGACATACATGGCACTGATCAATTATTCATTGATAAATTGTACATTGTAAAATTTATACATAATCAATCTGTTGAATAAAATTTCATTAAATAGTTTGAAACAATCGGAATCCAGGTAAAGTGTATGTAGATAACACTTGTATCTGATGTGAAAAAGGTACACTTTTTAACTGATTAATTATATTACTTACAGATACTTCATTTGAATAAATTTTAAAGCTGAAATAAATAAGAATAAGAAGTAGTATGAAGACATTTTTTTCAATAAAATATGTGTTTATTCAAATAAAAAAGAA